CTTCCAATTCTTTATTTTTATCTGAAATTTGTCAAACTTTTCTATAAATATAACTTTTGTCAATATTACCATTGTAATGAAGAAAATTCATGTACGTGTATTCTGCTCTTGATTGTTTAATTGGAAAACTAGTGCAATTTCATATAAGAGAGATAGGAATTTGGTATAACGTCCAATCGACACAAACTATGTCATTTCGGGCCTAACACATGGTTCAATATTATTTCAATAATTCGCTTGCGCGTAGGGGCCTTTAGCATAAGCAGTAACACGGATCCGGAGAAAACCAACAAGGTTGGACAGGCGACCTTATGCCTTGTCAACTACAACCAGTGAATCGAAACCACGCCAGTTGACTCAATGACAGACCTTATGATACAGCGCGCACGTGCTAGAAATTCGGCCATCCCCCCTCCCCTAAATTTGATATAATATCAGAATCAAAATTCTCTGAAACTATCACTTTTATCTGGGTGCTTGGAAAGAGCGGCATATATATTTCTTCCTTGTCCGTATAGCTGTGTACAAGGTTTTTGGGAGGGGAGCGGGGGTATGGAGGGTTTATTGCAGATCATTTACTCTACAACATATGCCATTCGAAAGTTAAAAGAAAAAATAAATTTTAAAAAACATCATGCAATCAGATTCGAGGTATTAACGAGACACGATAATTTTCCTAAAATAACCCGATCCCCACTTATGTTGCTGTATAACTACTACGTAATTTGATGATTATAGAAAAGGTCGTGACCCAAGACTTATTATAACTGTAAGTAATATAAATAGAAAATTGGGCGTCATGTAATAGTCAACTTTATACAATCGTACTCGAAAGAGAGGAACACGTCAGAAGTTTTGGTAAATTATCCTCGGTGTTAGTAGCTCTCCGTTTACTTTTATCGTTACATAAGCCACTTAACCGCCTAAATACCCACCCGACGACCGCTCTTCATTATTGTTGTTTACACCTTTTTGACTTACTACCCAATCTAATATAATGAATAACAGAGTACCAACTGGTTTCAACCTCGGCCAAAGGGTCAATATGAGTCGCGTAATCTTTACATCAGTGGTCAGATTGTAGCGAGTTGTTTGGCCAGTGGCCAGTGATGGCCGAATTAATCTAACGCGAGTTTAAGCGAGGTTAGAGGCTTTTAAAGTAGCTAACTCAATATCATCCAAAACCTTCGTCATTGAAAACGCGAATTTTAATCAACATTGGCGTTGTGATCTTACAGGGAAAAGATGGGCTTCTGATATCCAATATTTAAGACAAAATAAACATTTTACGATTGGTACACGAATCGTGTAATATAATGCGTTTCAGCGCAATTTGTAACCAACGACTCGAAGAACGAGGTTAGACATATTCCACAATTCATGTCAAACGGTGACCCCATATTCTTATCTGGAGAGCATGCGCAATAAATACTATCGGTGTAGACTGGAATAACCAGACGTTAGAGATTGCCATTCGATTGAGACTTCTGGCGTATTTTGTCGAACATAACTGTTTTGAAATTAGAGTAAAAACGGAAACGATTGAATGTAAATCGGTTTATTTACATTAATATTACATTATTATATACGTTGCGACCCATTTGTGTCAATTTGTAGATCCCAAATATTAGAGATTTAGCTCCTTTAAGTATATAAATTAGTTAAATCAAATACACCAGAGGTAATACATATATTTCGAGACTGTGTCACAGATCCGAGAATCATGGACTTCATTCAACAAGTAATTTAATGGAAAATGACTAATTTATTCGTGCGACAAAACAGAAATCCACTGTCAATATTCATTCCCAGCATGGCAGTAGATACAAAAGGTTCATATATTGAGAAGAAAGTAAACTTCGTCTTAAGATATTAACAATATTTTATCTGCCTTTAAAATGGTCATGCTATTTCAACAGTTAATTAGTATTCTTTAAAACCAGCATTAATCATTTTTCAGATTTAGTTGTTTTTCAGATTTACTCAACTTCTTTGTCACTTTAAAATCAGAGAAAATAATTGCACAGTCGTGTTCTGTATCCCTTTTAAACCAACTAAATTCGATATCTCACCTCAGTAATACTCAATTTTCCATTAAAATCACCAAATTCAAAAATACTATAACGTTCTAGTTGTGTTAAAAGATCAACAAATTTGTTCTGACGTGACGTTATTTCGCCTTTCAAGTAGCAAAATTGTTTTACGTTTAATTTACTTTAATTTACTTTGATTTATTATATTTACTAATATATTCTGTGCCATTACTTATCTTCTACTTTTCTTTCAAATCAGCAACATTTTTATTACGTATCTTCATCAAATTAACAATAATCCCTATTCCCGTTTAAACAGCGGTTACTGTTATTAAGACGGTATTTCTGCTACTCGTGGTAATAAAAAGAGAATCGTTATCTCTTAAACGTAGCCCTGTATCTGTATTCGCCCAAACTCTAAATAAGATTAGTTATTTGAGAATGAGCTAAAATTACTCGAGTATTGCCGATATTACGCTGTGGTCATTGAGAGGTCAGCGGCATGTTCGGGTCGTTATAGAGTAGATAGCAATCGTTACCGAACTTGTAAATGAAAGTAAACTTCAATGAGTATCCAAAGTACATACATCACATTCCCTGGCTGTACAAACACAGTACACACGATCATAAAATAACAGTTATTTTACCACTCTAGATTAGATTACAGCAGGACATGCTTACACTTTCATGAACACCGGGTAACACTTTCCATTATCGGATATTTCTCGTGTGGCAAGTCCACTTGTTGTTGCGTGCTTTGACCGAAATCGTCAATTGGACTTGAGTTATTTGAATATTTGTTAAGATATGTGCTTATTTTTATGATAATATCAATCTTTTAGTCGAATATCAGGAATTAAGTCAAGATAATTCCAAGATGGATCTGTAAATTTAAAGATATGGATAGTAATAGTTCTCTCTTGGCTCCAGTGTACATTGACTTATTTGACACTTGGAGCCACCGTGGCTCAGTAAGTAGGGCGCCGGCTTGTTAACCAGTGATCTTGGGCGCGCTCTCGACATTGACTGAAAAAACTTCCTTGGGATTTTCCGGCATTTCCTCCCCTTGTCAGTGGTACAGGATCGAGGAACAATGTCTAGTCGTTTGGATGGGACGAAAAATAAGACAGATTTGTGTACGTGTAAAGAATCCCTTGGCAGGTGGAATTCGAAATAAGAGTAGGCTGTGGCGCTGTTGCCCGAACAAAATGTTCCCTATCGCACACCACTACATGGCGCATACAAGTCTTCGATGCCATGTGAATAAATGTCTAAATAATAATTTATATAACCTTTGAAGCCAGAAAAAAGACCGCCAATAGGCATGTAATATCATCGTTAATACAAAATATCAAATGGGTTATAAAACGTATATATAAGAAATAAGACATTTATCACACATTAAGTGTTATTCATCTTCAACGATCGATCTTCTTAAATTGAGTACAATTTTAAAGGAAGAGAATTTATCTGACCGTACTGATTCAACCAGTCACCTTAACTTTTAACTTTTATCTAATTAAATATCTGTGGTCATTTTTGAATGGCGATCGGTCAACTAGACTAATTGCTGGTTAACAAACAAAGAATGAATTGTGTGTCATGTTTAATCTGTACATGTCATAAGTATGATATCTGAACAATGATAAAATGTTCATGCATATGGAATGAATCCTTCAAGCAATTTGACATCTCATCCATTCGATATCCTCTATACATCTGGAAGAAAAGTAACTTCAGGGCGATTTAATTTGAATCATTGCGTATTTTATCCAGAGAGGGTGGGGTGGAGGCACACTAGGTCATTTCGGGACTAATATACGGTACAATTTTAGCTGAGACCCCGTAGAAACTTCCCTCAAGGTTTCCAGGGAATGAGTTGCGTTACCATTTTACTTTTTACTTAGAATTTGTAGTCTTTTACCAAAAGAGGACAGTCCTTCGTTTATTCGATCGTAAGGTTTTGTCTTATATCATTCAATACAATAAAATTGGCAGCTGGAGGCTATATCAATTGTTTTCTCTTGGTACCGCAATAAGGCGATATTGGAACCAAATCTGCTCTATATGCCACCAGTTTGCAATTTGGTTTCATTCACATGTTAATCATATTTCAGCCAATTATAATATTTATAATGTGCATTTTTAACAGTGATATATAGCGATATTGCGATATTCACATAAATCTGTTAAATATGGCACGAGTTTAAATTTTGGTTTGACTCACATGCAAGCCATGCCAGATATTATTCTCTCTCTCAGCCGATGTAAAGGTCTTCAATTTGTGTTTCCGGGGATTTTCCAACGTGATTTCTCGTTGTCAGTTATGCAGGATGGGGGCGCTGACAAGGAATACGAGAAACCTACTCCAAGTGCACGTTGGAGTGCACGTAAAAGAACGCTTGACCGTTGGAAATTGAAATGAAAGTAGGCCGTAGCGTCGCTGTCCGGATAAAAGTTCCCTAATAGAACCCTGCATGTCGTATACTCGTCTTCGTTAACCAAATTAGTGCCGAAACTTAGGGCTAAAGCCCCATTTCACACCATTTTGTTTAATTTGTATTTCTGGTATTCAGCGGTAATGAATGATTAAATAACAAATTTGATTTTTTAAGGTGTTTCTAGCCCAGTCGGTACAGGCAAGCAGGGTGTTAAACCCCATTTCACTAGATTTCTTGTACATATGTATTTCCCTGTGAAACATAAACTTCCTTTATCTTAGCAAGGATGATTATATTATGATCAGTGTATAAAAGAATTACCGAGCTGTTGCTTGTAGTCGGCCAGTCTACGGTATATATATATTGATCTGTAGATAATGAATGTTATAATATTATATATTATCATTAACAGTTTTAATACGTCACCATCTGGCTCGTGCTTTAACTATAATTTAACAATTTACTTATCAAAACTTTCAAAGTCATCATTGATAAGTTGCGCGTAGTGATCGATGTGATGTTATTGTTGAAACAAGGAGAAATTCACCTCAAGCATATTCAGTCCGCCCAATCCACGCCGAGAAAAATCTACCATAAGCTTGTGTTTTGCAGACTGTTTACATGACTGGTCAAGCTGAGGTCAAGATGACCCCTTGACCAAACCAAAACAAGAACGCTGGAATACCCTTCTTCTATTCTCTTGTTATATTTTTGTCTTCGCGCGTTCCGAGTTAAGAGTGCCAATATCTATAACATTTACCATGGTGTGATCTTATGCAACAGCTCGGCATGAAGATCATTTCAATTATTGGACTGACCGTTGTGAATTATCCAATGCTTACTGACATGGCTGTAACTGCCAGCTCATAAAAATAGTAACAGCGGTCGACGTCATCAGAGCGGCGCTTTATGCAGTAATTGTGCAAGAAGGTCATTGAGAGTTCACGCATTGCAAACATCTATAAGCATGGGCAGTAGTGAGTAGCCACATCAGTCTAGCAGACGAGTTGTGTATGAAACGGTCATCGAGTGGTCAGTCTTAACATTTTGTGGCCTATTTGGCTTTAATCATATCTAATAGTGGATTATTTTTAGCTGTGTTTTATACAACGTAAGTACCGGTGTTTATGATTTACTCTTTTTTTTAAAAACAAAACAACAATAATATAATATAGCTTTAATGTTGTTGTTTTTTTAAACAATATTTTATTGAAATAAATATTGGATTGGTTTTCACATAATCTTTGATATAAATATATATAAAACATATTAAAGCGATAGAGTATATGTTTAGGACTGATATCTATAAATATAGACATCCAAGATTGACCATAACCTTGAAAACAGATAAACAATCCCACACGGATCCGCACTTGTGTTCATTAATTTCGTTTACGGTTTGGATTTTGTGTTTGTCCATCGCCGTTTTCAAGTGATAGAGTTCAGTAGGTTCTTATTATCGTTAATTAAAATAAATTCCTTGGTATAAAAGTTAAAAACGGATAAAGAATTGTCACAGTTAAACAACGTTAGCGACTGACAAAATCAAAATAAGAAATATAAGTACGCATTTATAAGTGACATTTTATTGGTCAGCGATGTGTTGAAATTGTTTTTGTAAAATATCTGTTTTCATCGTGTGAATTATGTAACATGAAACAAAAACGAGAATAAATTCAATTATCTTTGGAAACTGTTATGTAGCATTATTTTGTATAGATTATTTTATTTATTAAAATGTTATGTGTTTTTTTCTTTTTCCAGTTTTTCATCATGACGGACGTTGTTTTAGATTTAAGTAAACCCTCCGTTGTGGCACCGAAACTAGAAACCCAGGAAACTGAACCCGTAACTGAGTTTGGAGGTAGCAGTGACTCAGGTCGGGCTTCTATTGGTTCTGTGAATTCGGATATACCGGACCCGAGAGATGATCGAATGAGCGGCAGTGATGATGTTAATTCCTCATCTCCCAGTCATCGAAACATGCACGGCGCCTTTACCAGTGCATCCCTCCCGTCCCCCGGGCATTCTAGTGCCGATGAAGATGGACCAAGAGGCGAGCCGAACGGAGATCGTGTCGCACCTATCAGACCTTTCAAAATGTATCCAATGGATCCATTTACTCTTTATTCTAATCCAGTAATGGCTAACGCCGCTGCAGCATCGGCGGCAAGTTTTCATCCAGCAGGTTCTATACCGGGGGCGGGTTTGGGTCAGATGACGGCCTCCATGGATTCCCCTCTCGGTCTTACGCTAACTCCCTTAACCTCGCACTTTTTACAACGAAAAAGACGCCAAGATGGCAAAGAAATCGACGGTTTGGGTAAAAAAGCAAAACCAGTGCCAGTTGACAAAAAAGACGATTCTTATTGGGAGCGGAGGAGGAAAAACAACGACGCAGCAAAACGATCAAGGGATTCCCGCAGAATGAAAGAAGAAGAAATAGCTATGAGGGCTGCATTTTTAGAACAGGAAAATCTCAAACTCCGAGCGCAAGTGGCAATTCTGAAAAATGAAACTACAAAGTTACACTATATGTTATATAACCGTTGTTGAAAGAACTCATTGAGAGAGAAAAAAAACTTAAATTGAACTATATGGATCGGGAATCCTAGTGAATAACAATAAAATAACTCGAGTGAATATACCGGTTATGACTTATATGTGTATCGCCATGATTCATTGTCATTGAAGGACATTGCCAGAGGATGGGGTTAATATTGTTTGTTAACGAATACCGTTCATGTTGGTGAATCAAAGACTGTCCCAAAAACGTCACGAAACAATAATTTGATATAACAGACAGGACATTATAACTGATTATTAACTGCAACAGATAACTTATTAATTTACTAAAATTGTTATCTGTAGATTTGATGTATCTTTTGGTGATTTCTTCATGGAATCAACATAGCAACTCAGGTGTTCTTGTAAATATATTTTATATTCGTTTTTCGATGATCGAAATCTCAAACCGGACGAATTTTCTTCTTTTTTTCGACAATGCGGATATTATATGACAACTTCATTCATCAAGTGCTAAACCAACATCGGAGTGCCTATGGTTCATTTGTATCGTCATAAATGCAGCCATAAAATTGCATTTTGTGTGATTGTTAATTGTTTTCTTTATGTTATTATTATTTCATTTTTTTTATCATTTCTTTTTTTAGAGATACAAATAAACGAATCTCACTCATGACGTGCTATCTGTAGAGTTAAAGGTTTTGTGTATAAGTATAATAGAAGTGCTAATTATAATTTTAGGGTATCTTGTTGTTAGCAGCCTAATAAATTTTCGGTAAATTTTCTTTTCTAATAACGTGGCTTTCCTCTTCAAGATGATAAGTCAAATATTTAAATTCGAGGAGATAATTTATTCGAAATCAGTTTTGTTTAAAAATATGATTTCATTGATAACACACATTTCCTTTTAAAAGTAAAGCCACGTTTTTTTGTTTTTTTTTTAGTTTTTTTTTTTGGTTTACTAAAGGTAGAAAAGCAATTTGTTTTATTTCCTCATATAATGGTTTCTGAAATTAAAATAAACAGCCTTGTTTCGCTTTTAACAAAGGAATTAACAATAAATAATTGCTTATTATTATTAATGTTATTATTAGCATATGTAGTTTCCCTCCTTTTTCATTGCTTCGTTGGTGCATCGTTTTAATCATTTTATTATCCGTCATCTATATTTTCGAAATAATTATAATATTTGTACAAATGATTAAAATAAATCGTATTAATATAATTATTAATGTATTTTGTTCTTAAATGTTGTTACTTATGCATTGTGCAAGGGTTCATTCACAAAAATCTTGCCCTGTTCATTATTGGGAACGTCTATAAATGGACAGTGTTGAGTACTAAATGGATTGGGGTTTAACCTCCTACTGCTCTGCTTCTACAGGGCTAATGAAGACGGGTATACCCCATGCAGAGTGCCATGAGGGAAATTTTGCCCGATCAGCGGCGCTATGGCATACTCTTATTTCGAATTCTGACTGTCAAGGTTTCTTTTACGTGTACGCCAATGTGTACACGGGACCTCGGTTTTTCGTCCCATCTGAATGACTATACGTTGTCTGTTGCCAGGCCCTCCGTCCTACACTACAGTCAAGTTGGAACCATGCCAGATAATCCCGATGAACATTCTCGGCCCACGCAGGGATCGAACATGGGACGTCCAGGTTAAAGAGTCAGCGTCCTACTCACTGAGCCACCGTGGCTCTCAATGCTGATTACGATATATTGGTATGGTGTTCAGATGCCAAGAGAAAATCCCCTTAAATTGGTTGAATGTTGAATACAACGTTGGCTATTCAAATCTACGATATAATGATATGGTGTTCCACTGCCATAGCAAAATTCATCTTAAATTGTTTCAATAGCATCTGCTAATTGTATGATAGAAATACGCATGCAGAACACAGTTACTGTGTATTATTACTGAGCGTCGTTTCGGCTAGAGATATCTCGTTTTTATCAAGTATTGATAAACAGTAACTGTATTCCACAGTATTGAATTTTGTGTAACAATAATAACCCTTGCATTTTAAAATAAACCCTTGGTTTATTTCCTGTGTACATGATAATAAGCTTTGCGAAATCGAATGAAATGACCCTGGGTACCACAAATTCACCAACCTTGCAAGTGACATATACCCCTTTGCATTGTTATTGTTACAAATGCAATTAACTAATGAAAAGAATATACCAATTAATATATGATATTTATCAGCATAACAAAATCAATCCCTTTTATCGCAATGAACTGCCATCCTGGTTTTCTTTTCTTTTTTTTTCTTTCTTTTTTTTGCGAATATGCTGTTTACTTTGAGAACAGGGACAATACTTTCTACAAGAAACAAGTGCGAATTCTTTGCCATAGATTCCCCATGATGCATTTACTATAAATATATTCCTTGTGACGTATTTCATGCGTCAGTCAATTCTCTCAGATAATGCTTATATACAATTCCTAATCTTATAAAAATACCTATATGGTGTATAGCCTTGATGGTTAGGACGTATCGACCCAGTATATAAATACGATATATAAATATAGCATAGCCTTGACAGCTGTCAGTATACATGTATTTATATACATATTGATATGGGGGTGGATGCGCCCCACTAAATATCTCTTATTAATAAATCTTTATTTCCACCTATCCTAAGCTGGCTTGTATCGATACGGATGACTTTCCAATCCCCTAAGTAACGTTTTAGTTTATAGATAAACGGATAAATTTATTGATTGCTTAAGTGTTTAAGACGAATACCTGCTTGTAGCAGATTGCGGGATATCATTCTTTCTGGTAGTGTGTCGTTTATTTGATTTTCTACTCATGTGAACGCATGTTGTACCATGATACAGCTTGTTGTCATTTCATGAAACGATCTATGAATATGAAATGAAATCTATTATTGGTATATGAATAGACTAATAAGAATGTGTAACGTCTATTAAGAAGTAAATCTGTCACCAGGGATGATTTAATGGGGTTTATTCTCTTGTTGACGCACTCTAGCATCTTATAAATTTCTAAAGATGATATTTTGTTAATCCACGCCTGATTGCGTTAATTGTTCAATTCATCTATTATGCGATTTTATTCCGTTTCCAATTGTTATTGATATCCAGTGACTGATGATTTTATGAACATTTCTTATTGTAAAAACTACATAGCCTTATATAAATATGAAATATGCCAATACAATATTTGCATCGAAAAACAAATCAATCCAATCCGTAATGACATAGATAGATGATCATGGAAACCATGTTTCAGAATGGGTGAAAAATGACATTTCTGTATTACGTCATGTTTATAGTAAATTGAATGGGGATTAAAATCTCAATTTTGAGACTAACATAATATGGTATATTTTTTTTTATTTCTAAATACGAGGATGTAGGCCTAATTATGCCCGGAAACTGGTGTTTCCGCCTATCCGTCATCGAATACCATCTCTCCCGGTTCTTTCAGGCCAACTGACAATTTCTACATACACTCTCTCTCTGTCTCTCGGTCTCTCTCTCTCTCCGTGACAGCATGTATGATTATCATAGTGTAGTGATAGATTGATATCTATTTGGACTTTCCCAAAAAGTTATGTACGTGGGGGTTTTTTTACAGAAAAAGGCGACATTCCAAGCGTTTTCTATTACGACAATAGAGCAGAATACCTTTTTAAAAACATTTAACCTTCGTGCTGGTCAAATAGTATATATTTATTTGTTGTATTAGTAATATAGAGTCATAGAGAATTATTTGCTGGCATTTGGGACCAAAAAAGAATTCTCATTGATAGATGCAACGAAAAGATAACACAAAGTTCGCGACCCCTGTCGCCCACCAGTGTATAGATTGATTTTTACAATCGCGTAAAGCATTCTGTTACAATAAGTTATACAGGTATAATAAATATAACAGCATATCCCTCATGTTCCGTATAATCATTTATTGTTAGGCTATTGATTTCAGTCTTCGTTGTTTGTATATAATAAAAAAATGTTATAAGACGAAACTCAAGGTTATGTATTATTGAAATATCACTTATTTATATTGTGTAGGTGATAAGAATTAGGTATGTATATATATTTACATACACAATTGTGTCATCTAATAGAGAGGGGTGGTCATAACGTCTGTCATTAAATCAAGTGACAAGGTTTCAATCCTACGCTTGTGGGTGACAATGAGTAGGATCGCCTGCCAAATTGAGTGGGTTTTTCCTGCCCCCCCCCCCGAGTTTCTCCTATGCTAAAGATCCCTACGCTCAAGCGTAAATTCTAGGTTATGTTAACAATTTTCGTTTTATCATTGATTAATATAACTATACTGTGTGTTTATGTAAACAAAGTGTATTCTGACAAATTCTTTAAAATATGTTAGAATGATTGATGTTATATTCAAATGATAATTTGTTATTGTTATTTTTATTTTTATTTTAGTAAAACGAAATTAGAATTTGAATCTTAATTTAATGTAGAACTATACTCTTCAAAAAAGTAGGGGATATTCAGAAACAATACAAAACTGTGGAAATGCACTGCTGTTTTTATTAGAGGTAACCAGTGTATGTGAATAACAGGCCAATTGCCTATACATGATCATAAACAGTTCATATGGGCGGCTTATCTGACGGCCCTATTTCACTCGCAAAGAGAAACACCGTCAAAAGTAAAAATGGACGTTTTTGAATTTTGTCTTAATAATGAGTAACTGCTCCACCAATCCTCAAACATTTCGCAATTCGTCGTGGCATGCTCCTAATCAACCGTCCAATCACGATTTGGGGCAATCTGGCCCACCCCACTTGCAGTGCCACGGCCATTTCTTGCGGTGTTGTCAGTTGACGTTGACGTCGACGAACACTTCTCCCGATCAAATTAAACACACTAAAGCAAAGATACACTAAACAGTAAATCTTATACAAGAACCGATAGGAATGCTAACATGGATAGATAAACCCACACGCGGCAGTTTTCATCAACCCTTCCTTGAAGTGTCAAATTTGACAATGAACCCCTCCCACGTGTATGGCGCTATTGCGTGTCGCACATGCAGCTCAGTGGTTCTGTTGGGGCGATAAGTTCTTCATCTGTGAACATACTCTCAAAGCATGTCAAGTGTCCATGACTATTTATCATATCACAACCTGCATAGGTATTTACATTTCAATATCCCCTACTTTTTTTGAAGAGTATATTATAAAATAACGATGCTACTGTTTTTGTAGACAAAGTGTATTCTGACAATTTTTTAAAAATATGTTACAATGATTTATGTTGTATTCTTATGATAATTTGTTATTTTTATAATACAAAATTAGAATTTGAATTCTACTTTAGTGTAGAACTATTATAAAATAAATAATGCTTGCTGTAATTAAAGACGTTAATTCATGTCGTTTAATTCTGATTTAAATGTTTGAATTCCATTGTAAGACGAATAGTAATATGTGATCATTGTGAAATAACAGTTAGTCACCGAGGTGGGTAGTGGGCAATGTGTGAGAAAATAACGTAACCATCTCCTAAAGCTATTGTAATCCCTGCCGAGTCTGATTCTTTCTGACCTCTTTCCAAAAGGTCGTGAGAAGTTTTTATTACAAGGCCATGATGCAAAGCGCAGTCAGTCAGACAGTTTGTGTAGGTCACGACGACCGTTGACCATCAATGACTATTGTCCAGTGACAGGATGCACCCGCTGTAATGAACATGGGAAATCGGAGCAAAAGGATTCATTGCTAAGTTTTATGGATCATAAAATAACACATTAAATCGCAGGGGGAGAAAGTTACATTACTTTCAAATTGACAATTTTGATGCAAGGGGTGCCAATCATAATCTGAGTAGAATTTCGAATGTGAGTTTATCCAGCTGAGTTTGAACTTACG